CCCCCCCCCCCCCCTGAGATGACCTGCGGTTTTCTAATACAACTGGTATTCTGCAAAAAAAAAAACTATATGGTTTATTGCTGTTGACGTACAGAGACGAGTGCACCCCCTCCTAAAAAAATCCTGGATCTGCCCCTGGAATACACCCTGAGTTTTAGACATGATTCGACGAAGAGGTTACCAAGCAGTACAGTATTTTACCTTGAATATCCTACAGGAATCAAAGCACACAATCTGAAAGTTACTTTAATGATAGCTTGAATGTTTGTCTTGTAATTCAGAAGAAGAGGACTGTGATCTATAATTTGTTCTCCTTTTCAGACAACAGCCTCTCATACAAGTCACGCAATCTACTCGCAATACACGTTATCGATCGGGCGTGTAGACGTCTCGATCAATAAGTTCTTCGGCTCTTTTCTCAACTTTTTTTTGGGCTTCTACCTTGATCTTTAAAGAAATATCATATTTTACCCTTTTTCAATAAAAACAAATGTTGCTTTCTTTTATGTATGGTTTTCTTTATTTGTGCTCACTAGGGTCATAGGTCGAGGACCGCACATTGCTATATTTTTCAATGGTCGACAAAACAAAAACTTTCAAACTCTCAAGCAAATTCTTTTCAATTCAATTTATCTGTTGATTTCTTCTGCAAAACGTCAAGTTTTCCTGTTATTTTTTAACAATGCAGAAGCTAAGTAAGGACGAAAATACAAATACAAATTTCCCCCCCTGTTAACTAAATTTGCATCACTGTTACATGTAAATTAATTACGGGTGGTATTCACCAACGGCAAAATACCGAAACCTTGACATACGGAAGAAGACTAAACGATAAACCATCGGACTATTTCGCTTTTCGCCGTATTGATAATATTTCGTCCATTTTGAAGTCGCCTACAGAAATACATTAAAACTCGGCAATCGAACTCCAGGTATCACATGTTATCATAATTTCTGTTTCATGTCGCCGCTTTCCAGGCAACATAAGCTTTCCTCTTCAGGTAAAACGCATTTGTCGGGATTCTAGCTTCGTTACACTTATGTCCTTTAGTGCTAAGCTTTCTTTGCCAGCCAGATTTTCCTCTCACCGTTTCGGATCCCACGGTAGAACTCTAAATTATTTTTGCAACCGTTTACGTACTGCAAAGCGATACGTCACGTGATTAGTGTCCAATCATGACAGGTCGAATCATGACCGTCGAATCATGTCTTAAAATCCGGGTGTATACATTGCAATGAGATCAGCTGTAACTTGAGGTCATACCACAGGCCAAACTTGAGCTTGGTCAAAAAAGTTTTATAGGTGTACTAATTTCTCCTTCTATGATGCCATAATAAAAGTTACCTGTTGCTGAAACAATTCCTTGTTGATCCATGCTGAAGGGCTGATCTATCAAATGATTTGTGTTCAATTTCATGTCAGTTACAGTATCTTTATTGTTGACTGTGTTCGATTGGCTCAGTGAGACAAGATTGTATTTTTTTTGACACATGAGATCTTGAAACTGATTTGTGGTCACATCAACTACTGTCTGTATTGTCGGCTGTGATTGTTAAATTGACTTGACACACTGTTGTAATTGTTAAACATGGATTTGGTTGGAAAACAGAAGTATATGTACTACTGTCTGTAGAAGAACAGTCAGATGTGAGTAAAATCTTTCATTTGCATTTGTAGAGAAAATCCTTTAGCAGCAATTTCAATTAGGGAATTCACAAGTACTATCTCAGAAGCATTAGGATTCATCTTTTGAAAGGGAAGACGTTTGTTAACTCTGACAATGTTCCCTTTGAGTTTTTCAATAGCCTAGGGGTCTAAGTTTCTCAATTTCAAAGGACAGGGGTTATAAAAAGTAGACAACACGCCCCTCCTCTTATGACCTGGTGTGTATGCATGATGCCTTGGCTTGATAATCTTTAAGGCCATGATTGACCGCTAATGTTTCACTGTTCGTCTACCTGGAAGTTTGGGTTTTCGAACTGAGTTAACAAGCGTACGTGCTTTATATTTGACACAATATTTTTTGTAGGAGGAACAACAAAAAGCCATGGCCTAACGTAAACAACGTCGTTATCAACAGGTTTTGATACTTCATGATCAAGATCATGTTCAACATTTCCTCAATGGCATACGTAGAGAGAGGTTTTTTCAGTAATTTTGCTGCAATCCTTAAGGTGATCTAGGGTATCGGTCAGTGGAACAACTCTGAGTATAGTACTGACACTGGAGTTGGGCCTGGTGAAGCCTTTGCCTGGGTCAAGATCATAAACTTTATCTCTATTTTCAGACATAACATTAAGGTATTTGACTCTGTGGGCCAGGAAACAAATGAATTTATCGTATCTTTCGGTCGGTTTGTAAAGTTATAAAATCATTTCACCTTAAACTTAACTTTCGTAAAGGTCTTTCTTGTTACCGCCTTGGTTTATTCTTCTACATTTTTACCAGAATTTTACCTGGTTTACTTTTAACCTGCAAATTTTAAAGGTCCCGTTCTTTCCTCGGGTGTCAATTTGACAACTTCAAAATTTACTTGCTCCATCTTGAACTTTTTTCGACAACCATTTGTTTTTACCGCCAGGCGCCACGAAGGCCGAAGGGCCCTTAGGCCTCGCTTCCATGCAACTTCCGGTTTTTTTCCTGCAACGGCGTATTCAAAGATATGTTTCAGAAAAATAACCAAGCTTTTGACCGGGCAAAACAAACCACCCTTAACGATATATGCCCAACAAAACCGACAAAACTAGTCTGCATGCGAAGTAGGACGTAAAACATATGGGTCACATATGATGTCATAAAAGTACTTCTGCCTTCGAAATCCATCGCAAAAGGAAGTTATTAACAAAATTATAAACGTTGTATACGCTTAGTCAGGAATAATATTTTAATGAAAAAATAAACTTATGGTAAAAATAACAATAATATAGCCTGCGAATGCAGCCGTTCTCTCCTTGTTCCTCGCCGCTAGAGACGTTTTGCCAGGAGGAACGTCTACGCCTCGGCAACTGAAATTTCATACTGATGACGTAAATAAATTTTTAAATTTGAATGATGGTATAATCGTCGCAGTGGTAATTGCAATTTAAGGAATTGCAAATTAACCCGAAAAAAATTTCGGGACTTCAACGTGATTCCAACCCATGGCCTCTACGTTAGCGCTGCAGTGCTCTACCAATTGAGCTATGAAGACCCATATACTGAGAGCAGGCCAATTTGCCGAGCTCGTCTAAAAACGTGAAAGGAAGAAAACATGAAGATTATGTGAAATGCGGAAATACAAATTTAAATGAAGATATGATCGTCGAAGTGGTAATTGTTCGCATAACAAATCAAGTAATCATGGGGTTCCAAACGTAAATTTGTTCGACTTTATGTTTCTCCTGGTCGATTATGGTAATGTTTTGTGTTTTACTGCGAACGAGCTCCAGCAAAACTCAGATTCTTTTTCCAAAAGAAAAACATTTTTCCAGGAATATTGACTGTTTTGTAATAGATTCATCACGTCTTATCATTTACATTTGGACTTTGTGGAGTTTTTTTCTTTTGTCTGTCATTTGTAAACAATAGATAAAACAATATAAATACTGTGTCGACCAATCAGAGCTCCTGACCAGATACCGGACAGATGTTACGTCATCAGTATGGAATTTCTGTTGATGCTCAACAAATTCTTGGAGTCGTCGAAGGCCTTCAGTCTGACCATCAGCCTCAGCAAAACCGAGGCACTGTACCAGCCTGTTCCAAACACCACATCCGTGGAGCCAAACATCAGCATCGATGACACGCCGTTGGCAAATGTCGACAGCTTCAAGTACCTGGACTGGACAGCATCATCTTAAACGACGGATCCCTGATAAAGAAATCACGTCCAGGATCAGCAAAGCAAGCCAAGCCCTAGGGAGGCTACAAACGAAGGGGAAAGTCTACAGAGCTATAGTCTTGACCGCTCTGCAGTGTGAATGCGAGACTTGGACACGGTACCGAAGGCGTGTCAAACAGCTAGAGACCTTTCACATGCGTGCCCTTCGTTCCATACTTGGCATGTGCTGGCAAGACCGCATCACAAACCTCGAGGTCCTGGACCGTGCTGAGTGTACCAGCATTGAAACCTTACTCATCAAGGCCCAGCTGCGATGGGTGGGACAAATCATCAGAATGGACGATCCTCTCATGCCCCGTCAACTGCTGTATGGAGAACTTGTGCGCGTTACAAGGACACTGAAAAAACTTGAGGCTTCAGACAGCGACAGAAGTCAATGGTGCTCACCGACCCTCACTGCTCCCACCAGTTTCGAGGACGACCGCGTCACAGACTCATGGCAGCAGCCTATGAACGAAGCCAAAGAACATTCTCTGCTGATATCACAACAACGGAGTTCCAGTGTCCCACCTGCTCCAGACTCTGCGCTTCCAGATTGGGTTTGCAGAGCCACCAGAGAATCCGTGGATGATCACACAACACGCAGTCCACAACACGCAGTCTTCTTCGGACACGATGGACAACCACCAAACAAGCACCTTTGAGCGAGGAGTTCTTTCGAAAGTTGCGCCACATTTTATCGTCACGCACTTCTTTCGCTAGCAAAAGAAAACAAGTATTGTGACTTCTCTAGAACTATAATGTAACGCAACAAAATGACATGTGTCCAAGAACATGTGTCGGAAATAATGGTCTATATTGTTCTATATTTTATTTTATTAGCTCCTTTAGGCACTTTATATCGAGTGGTTGTATGCAAGCTACTAGTTTAACCAAGTCCTCTTGTTTGTGTTAGATTCAACAGTCTTTCCACAGTTGTCAATGTTCTCCTGCCAAGAGGCGCTGATCCCTCCCTGAGAGGGAAAAATGGGAACACCCCACTTCACTTAGCAGCGCGTGGAGGACATGAGGAGATCGTTAAAGTTCTTTTGGATCAACCTTCCGTTGAGGTTGACGCTAAAGATAATTCTGGAAAAACTGCTCTGCATTTTGCCTGCAGCGAAGGCCACAGAAAGGTTTGTCAAATCTTGTTGAACTTCGGAGCGGACATAACAGCGATTTCAGCGGACAAGACAACTCCGCTTCATAGTGCCATTTTGAATGGACATTCAGAGGTTGCCAGGGTGATTTTGAAGCGAGGTTAGAGGTTATTGATTTAACAGTAATTGCAGTAACTCCTTCAGAGTGTAAACAGTCCGAGCCTTATTTATCTATTATTTATTGAACGATCCCCTCTGGGTCATTAAATTTAGGTCTTCTTAACGAGTTAGTCATATAAATCTGGAAGCGTCTCACTGTGATACAAGTCCTCCGTGAAATTCTGGTGACGACAGATGAATACCGACGGTTAATTTGCTGGAAGGCACACATTTCATTTAAACGCTCAATTATGCACTACTAACAACTATGTACAAATTGCCTGATGGTATCCACCTGCTTAAGTGGCGGTATGAGAATCGGTTAGTGCTTTATCCGCCGCGCGTACACTGTATAGCTAGCCACGACGTTTTTCGGCTGCATGCTGCGGGATCTCAGTTTGACTCGTCCCCATTTCTCTCCCTGCTTTATACCCCCCCAAAAAAGCAGCAATGGCACTCATAGAAAGAAGCAGTCGCGCAGATAAATCTCGCCACCTTCCTAGGCTAGTATAAATATAGTGAGATTGTGCAGAGGACAGCGCCTGGGGACTAGACTCCTAAAGGTCGTCGTTGGTCGTAATAATGGGGTGATTGTATGGCGAAAGTGCAATATGTAAGTGAATTCTCCCCTTAACTTGCTATCATTGTTGTTGTACTTTACAGCTGCCGACAGAGATGTAGATACTAACGAGAAAGAACTTTTGGGAATTCGTGACTTACAGGACAACACAGTCTTACACATGGCCACATGGAATAATGACGTCAAGGCTGCTGCGTTATGCCTTGAGAAAGGTGCTGATGTCGACTGTCTTAAGTGTGGCTCGGTCACCGCCCTTCACATGGCGGCAACGAAGGGAAATCTTGAGGTAGCGGACTTGCTTATTTCAAGAGGTGCTGATGTGAACAAGAAAGACGGGGACTCCAAAACACCTCTCCACAGGTTAATTTAATTTGCATTGAATAAGACTAAGCAATGCTGATTACTTTAAGTGTTGAATGGACGTTCCATAGAATTTTGCCCACAGTCTAGAAAATTCTAAGCTAAAACATATTGGTAACGTTGTTGGTGACCTAAATGTTTGTCATGTAGTTGCATGTGGAACAAAACATACAAACGCAAATTTCCCTTCTAGGTCTCAAGAAAATGATTATTTAATCAGTGAAGAACATTCTTGTTTCCAGATGCATGTCGGTTCGCTCATCAATGTTCCTAGTTTTGCAGGACCTTAAAAGTATCCCCATGTTGTCTTCTTAATTACCAGTCTGGGAGCGAAAAAGAAGAAAAGCAGCGTTTCTTAAATTTTAAGCTACAATCACTTAACTAACCCGTTGATTATCGTTCCCATGTAGGGCCGCTATGTTTAACCAGTTAAACGTAATTGAATTTCTTGTGAAAAAGGAGGCAAAAATTAATGCTCGTGACAGCGAAGGACGTTCTCCGTTCCTGAATGCTGTTGCTGCTGGGCACGTGGACTGCGCCCGAGTTCTTCTCAAACTTGGAGCTGATTTGAGCGCAGCGGACTTGCATATGAAAAACTGTCTTCACATTGCGGTAGAGAACGAGCTCTTAGAGATGCTATCAATGCTTTTGGAAAGTCGTGCGGGGGTACGCTGTTTAAACAGAAGAGATTTGAAGGATAGAGTTCCTCTGCACTACGCGGCAAAGACAAGAGACATCAAGGTAAATTTGTAACGGAACTGTTAGAAAGCAATTCAACAGCACTTGTTTTATCAAGGGCAGAAAACTTGACATGACGGCACCTTTACATAGAAGTGACTATAATACAGTCGAGCCTCTATAAAGGGGAATTCTATAAGCGACCACCATCTCTTTCCTCTCCATTTACCTTAGTCCGGGCGGAGAAAAGTTTCAGTAAATAACTGTAAACAGTATCCCTATAAAGCAGCCTCCTGTTATTTCTTCAAGTACTTTGTTAAAGGCAGAACGCGATATTCGTTCAAAAGAATTATTTTCCCGGCTCACTGGTTAGTTAATCGCAAGTCACAGCTATCTCCCAAATAAGTAAGTAAGTAAAGCCTTTATTTAAAGAGGGTAGCACTTAATAGCCAAAGGCTAATAAACTTGTGGCCCTCATAAAATACACAACTATTTACAATCTAATAAATATAGTAAGCTAAAATATATAAACAATTAAAATAAAACAGGATTCGAATTTTATAAAAATAAAAAATTATTAAATGATAAAATGATGCAAACATTGTTGTTCCTTAAAAATCTTGGCAAACATGTTCTTTTTAAAACATGCTACAGAATCTAGTTTCCTAATTTCAATTGGTGTACTATTCCACAGTCTTGTTGCCGAAACAGCGAAAGAGCGTCCTCCCTCTGTTTCTCTTCTATATTTAGGACAAACAGCATTAATGCTTGAATATCTAGTGTTGCGGGAGTGCCGCTTATTATTCAAAATTAAGTGTTCATTTAGATAATTCGGCAAATACCCATTAATTCGCTTATACATTATTATGCATTTATCTATCTTATGTTGCTCATAAAACGGAATCCAACCTAGCTTGTTAAACAAAGCAACTGATGGTGTCATGCGATCGGCATAAGAAATAACGCGTGCCGCACGTTTTTGCAATCTTAAGACCCTATAAACCGACTCTTTATCACAATTTGCCCAAACAACGTTAGCGTAAGACATAACAGGGCGAATAATGCTATTATAAAACTGAAGTCGCTGTTTAAGAGGTAGACAGGCTCGAATCTTACGCAGTATTGCGATTCTAGAGGCCAACTTTTTACATACTTTCTCAATATGTTCATCAAATGACAATTTGCTGTCAATTTCTACGCCTAATAAGGTAGCACAATCCACATTACTGAGCTGTTTTCCGTTTACGAAAACATCTATGTCACTTCCATTTATGTTAGCCACACATCTTTTCCCAGTGATCGTGAGTACTTTAGTCTTGTCTTCATTTAATGGGAGCTTATTCGCTGAAGCCCATAATTGAATTTCAGAGACAGACTTATTTAGTGATGAACTTAAGGTGGCTAAGTTTTTCACATCCGCAAAAGCAGTGACAGTCGTATCCTCTGCGTAAAGGTCCAACTGAGCACTTGTATACAAGGGCAGATCGTTGATAAACAAAATGAAGAATAAAGGACCTAAAATACTGCCCTGAGGGACTCCATGCAACATCAAAGCTTCGCTTGACTCACCCCCATTTACACGGACCACTTGCTTCCTATCCAACAAATAAGAGTGACACCAGGCAAGCTCCCGGTTGGCTATACCGTACAGTTCCAACTTGCGCAACAATAGCTTATGGTCCACCATGTCGAAAGCCTTTCGATAATCAACCAGGACCATGCCGCATACATGATTATTATCTAGGCCGAACAAAAGCTCGTCAACTAACTTGATTAGAGCAGTCTCGGTACTGTACATCCTACGAAACCCAGACTGTCTAGAATACAGCAAGTTATATGAACACCTTCTCGACATCACGGTAGGTCGTCTGGCTCTCACATGTTTGCAACTGGTGGTGACTGACGGGAATGCCATGTAAGTGATAGGGAGCCTACATCAGTTATTTTCTAAGACGGACATTCTTAGGAATGAATAACGACATGGACCATCTTTACAGCTTCAAGGTGTCCATTAAGGAAGAGTTACTGTATTTGAAAACAGTCAAACTTACTCTCTTTCAAGTGGCCTCCCTTGAAGAAGGAACAAGTGTCCACTCTATTAGGTGTTTTGTGTTAAGTGGTGTACTGACAAGTTTGTTCGCCGATACTCTAGGAACTTACCGATAGATGACAGCTTGACCCTTTAAGCCCCAGTATCAGCATGTGTAATCTCTGCACTTCTCTTTATACATTCTTATGGTCCTGCTCGAGAACATTTGTTCAAACATCAAGGTATTTTGTCTGTAGTGATTATTTCGTTCATTCTCGTGACCTGTAGCGTGCTGTTGTTGGGAGAAATTGGAAGCTGGTCACTATTGAAGCTTAAAGAATTAATGAGGGGCCGCTTAATAGACATTCGGCTGTAGTGTAGGAGATCAATAAATGACACTGACTCTGGCATACGGTTTCATGTTTGTAGATTTTAGAGCTCGTCTTATCCAAGCAGAAGCACTTGGGCTTCAGCGATGAGAGTCAGAAGACACCGCTTCACCATGCAGCAGAAAAGGCCTCATCCAAACACGTTGAAGTTCTGGCAAAGCACATGTCTGAAATAAATGCGCGAGATGAACTTGGCCGAACACCATTGCACAGCGCTGCAATGAAAGGGCAGAGGCAAGAGATATATTCTAGAATATTCTTTTATTTCTTCACAGTTATCGCTGTTTTTCCATTATGGGTGAAAGCGATCTTTGCTACTTGTTTGGATACAGAGTCGACCATAGATCAAAGATGTCCTCACAAGCAAGCAATTATAGTGACGTAAAACGTCAAAACTCGAACGTTACATTTTTTACGACTATTAAATCGTCCTTTGTTTTGGAAGAATAAATGTGTCTGAATTAATAAAAAAGGTACCTACAGAAATTTCAAGTGCGTTTTAACAATTTGACCCTTGAGCTGAATAAAAAGCAGTTGAAAGTCGCTAGTTAGGGCTTAAAACGAATAAATTAATCGCTGGAAACACACGAAAAGTTGCTCTTGGCAAAAGCAACCGATTTGTAACAGACCTACAATCCATCTTTCCTGACCCCACAATCGGGTGTCTAGACAAAATTATTTCAACTAAACACTCACAAAGCGTTTTTATGCTTGTACACAATGTTCTTATAACACGAGCGCCACGACATACCTGAAATCTGTCTGTCAACAACTTCAGGAAATCACACAATTAACCACGTTCGCGGCACTGCCAAAACTATCCACAACCAACCAGGGACAATGTTTCCACACTTAATACAGGTGTTTCGATAAAGTTTTTCAGAGGCCATACCGATATTTTTCAATCGCCTTAAAAGTGTTTTTTTCCTTGTCTGATCGCTATAAAATTTTCACCAGTAATTGGCTATGGATTGAAATTTGTGAAAATGTAGTTTTAATTAAAATCGCTATTACTATGACAACAAGAAACAAAAGAACTTTTAAATTGATAAAAGCCGAATTTTGTGTGATCTAGACCAGCTACTGAAAATCCAACACTAGGAACTTAAAGTTTGGTGTTTAGCAAACAATCTTCGTAAGACGTAAAAAAATTCAACTGAAACGAAAATATTTTTCCAATCTTAAATTTTAAATAGCCGTCATAGATTATTTAATAAAAACGTTATAAATGACTCAAATTATTTTTATGTAGCGTCAGAATGCTGCTTAATATCATATTTCGATGCTAGGAAATTTTGGTGTATTTTCGTTCTTGCGATCTTGAAAACTAACCCATTTTCTCACCACCTGTATAAGTGCAACTTCATTCAGAATTTGGACTTTTAGCGCTTTCTTGTATATCTCTGAAACGACTCGAACGAATTTTTTTAAAATCTCCTCACGTAATCTTCATAATGTATATAAAAATGTCTGAAACTTTCATGAAGATTGATTCACTGCAACACCATGAAATTTCAAGACAAACGTATCCTACGAACCGGTCAAAAATCTGCGTTACAACATTCACTGTTTTGACGTTAAGCTATTTTTTCCAAAAGAATGCATACTATACATATCTCCATGACTAGTACATTTTAGTTTGAATTTATCGCACCTTTTGAATGTAAAACATTGACAATACTCACACTGAAATTTACTAGTCATGGATATATGTATTGTCCGCATTAATTTAGAAAAATTAGCATAACGTCAAAACAGTGACTGCTATAGCGCGGATTTTTGACCGGTTCGTAGGATAGTTTTGTCTTGAAATTTCAAGGTGTTGCAGTTTTAAGATCGCAAGAACGAAAATACGCCAAAATTTCCTAGCATCAAAATATGATATTAAGCAGCATTTTGACGCTACTTAAGAATAATTTGAGTCATTTATAACGTTTTTTTAAAAAATAATCTATCACGGCTATTTAAAATTTAAGGTTTGAAATATATTTTCGTTTTAGTCGAATTCAAACATACAGAATTTTTTACTTCTTGCGGAGGTTATTTGCTAAACACCCAACTTTAAGTTCCTAGTGTTGGATTTTCAGCAGCAGGTCTAGATCGCGCAAAATTAGGCGTTTAGCTATTTCAAAGTTTCTTGTTTATTGTTGTCATAGTAATATCGATTTTAGTAAAACCTACATTTTGACATATTTCAATCTATAGTCAGTCATTGGTGAAAATTTTATAGCGATCAGACAAGGATAAAATCACTTTTAAAGCGATTGAAAAATATCGGTATGGCCTCTGAAAAACTATATCGAAACACTGCTGACACAGTCGATTTATTCAAGATCCCGGAAGTAGAACAGCCGTTTTGAAAGGGACATATAGAGGCCGGCCTTCAAAACAAGTTTTAACTAAGTCTCTGGCCTGGTCAGAAATCAGCTTCAATTTTGCTCGCGCCGAATAGATTTGACTCCAACAAACTACTTTTTGAGGCCAGAGACTCGTCACCGCCAAATCAACGCTCGCAATATGCTGCCTTTCCGTCTCAAGCCCGAGATCAGTGTTTCACCCGTTTAGCCAAATCCAAAATGAGACGAAATATGGTAACGTGTTGGACGACGGCAGACTTTGCCAATCGTGAGAGTTGTTTCTTCATAAGGCTTAATGATGCTTTCCGGAAAACTTTGTTGCAGGGGGCCAAAAAGAAATCTAGAAAATTAACCGACGACGGAAAACACTTTCTACCGCGGGCGCTGATGGCAAATGTCATAGCGTTTTATGACAAGTAGAGAATTATGGGAAATGGTAGGTAGGGGAGAGGTGGGGGAGGGGTAGGGAAGATGTAAAAGGCATATTTGACTCATGTTTTTTCATCTACTGCAGCTCGTAAGGGGATTTTTGTAGTGAAAATATCATTTTAAAAAAAAATGTCAAGTACTGAAGAAGCCTCAAATGAGAATGTTGCTAAAAAGTCCTGAAGGTACCTCTTTACAAATCCAGACAGAAATAAAATCGACTGCGATTACCGAATAGGCAAGTGTTATGTTTTGACTGCCCCCTGAAATACCACGTAACATTGCTTTTATTCCATCAATCCTAAAGCGCTTGAAAAGATGGCGGGTATCGTGCATAAGGTCTATTCCGTAAGTCGATTTCAGTTCCATCCGTTACTTAATTCTATTTACCATTTGCATATCCCTCATTATACACTTTGCTTAGCGCCCCCCCCCCCCCGCCAAAAAAATGCATGAACGTATTGCGGTCGTCCCAATTGAAGACAATGCTTATTCAATATGCATTTTTTAAGCCGTGGAGGGGGGGACAAGGTGTGTTATGGGAGATTGCAAATGGCGAATAAGAGAATCCAATGCATTTTTAACAGTGTATGTAAGTATCGCATATTGTTTTACCAAGCTACCTGCATTGCTTCCCTATGCAATAGGAAATCCTGTCAGGTGCTTCTTAGCATGGGAGCTGAGGTCGATAGCAGGGATAACAAGTTTCGAACACCTCTGATGTGGGCTTCTCATGGAAACCACACAAAATGTGCGGTGATTCTTCTTGACTCCAAAGCTTCTGTTGACCTACAGGATGTCGGTAGTGATACTGCTTTGCATGCAGCGTGTGGTCAGGGTCATCCAGCTATTGTGAAGTTACTGTTGGACCATGGTGCATCCTCAGCATTGAGGAATAAACAAGGTCTTACTTGTTTAGAAGTTGCCGCGAAAGCAGGATCGTGTGATGCCGCCATGGCGATTGCCAAACACGAAAGGTTAGCAGAGTACAATACAATACAATACAATACAATGCCCTTTATTTAACGTGGTCAATTTTCTTAGCTAATCAGCTACTTTACAGACATGCCACAAAAAATAAATAAATAAACTAGAAATAATAATAGAAAGAGACGATTTCTCATGAAAACCTATATAAAAAATATATATACAGTTAAAAATTATTAAAACTAAGAGTAGATCACGACATTATTACATAATGACGTTAAAACTAAGCCAAATGTATTTAAATGTATTTGGGCGATTAAAATTTAAAATTTGAAAAATCCAACTTAGACATTAAGTTCTTAAATTTTCCGATTTTATTAGCGGCACGAAACTGATCCGGAAGAGCGTTCCAAATCTTAGCTGCAGTATAACGCCACGATTTAAGTCCATAGGTGGTTGTATTTACTTTGGGTAGCTCGAGGATGTGTTTTCCTCTAAGATTATAAATGCAGTAGCTCTCCTATCGCTCCGGGGACTTTATACCCATGGATAGCTTTGTAAACACCGGTGGCCATTTTAACAATTCTTTGATTAAGTGGGGACAGCAAGTTTAGTTTTTTTAGCAACGTCTCGTACGTAGCTCGTTCATTGATTTTTTCAAGTTTGGCGCAACCTCTTTTACCACAGTGATGCCACGACTCTGAGCAGTAATTGAAATGCGGTGCAATGAAAGCACGATATATATCTATCCGCAATTCAAAAGGTAATATTTTCTTCAAACGATTAAGAACAGCAACCTGTTGACTAACTGTACGGCAGATTTTACGAATCTGTCCCTCAAACTTAAGCTTGTTATCGACAGTGACGCCGAGGAGTTCCATTTCGTCTTGAATAGGGATAACGGTTCCTTCACAGGTCAACACTGGATTTCTCTCGACCCTTTCAAAAGTAATTGCTTGATATTTTGAATGCTTTCTTTTCATTTGATTGAATTCAAAACACTCATCACCCTTTTTCAGATCAGCATTTATGGCATGTTCAACCTGGTCGATATTTTCCGCAGACTTAAACAATTGAGTGTCGTCGGCATACGTGAATAATGTACATTCGTCTATAGCATAAGACAGGTCATTCATGAAAATATTAAAGAGAATGGGACCCAAAATTGATCCCTGGGGGACATCCTTCATTATGGTTTTCATAGAAGAGTGTTGTCCACTCAATCTGACACGTTGCTGTTTGGCACTTAAATAATTCGTAACGAGATTGATAACTTTTGTCATGAGTATCCACCGTTATCTTCAAGCTTTTTGATAATCAGGTTATGGGGAAGGGTGTCAAATGCTTTTGAGAGATCCATAGACACCAGACTAATAAGTTTGTGATTATCTAATTCTTTCTTGAATTGTTCAGTTACACTAAGGATAGCTGTGTCGCACCCATGATAATCTCTATATGCAAAGACATTGTTATGATAAATATCTTCAAAGTGTGAAGCAAGTCTTGAGTGAACGAGTTTTTCAAAAACTTTGGATAAGACCTGCAGGATTGTTATAGGGCGATAGTTTGTCTTTGTTAACGTACAGTCTTTCTTGTGGACCGGGACAATTTCACCTAGTTTCCAACTCGAAGGCACTTTTCCCCTTTCAAATAGAAAATTCACTAAAAAGCTGAAAGGCTGACACATAATTTCAGCGGATTCTTTGACAGCTCGAGCTGGAATTTAATCACGTCCAGTAGCATTGTTTGTCTTAAGATCCTTTATAATTCTCTTCACTTCACCTGGGCTTGTATTTGTTAAGGTGAAGGGCGGGATTGATGAGCTTTTATTGTCTGGTATGACTTTGGAGGCAATTGATTGAAGTCAGGGTGCTGAGAACTTGAAAACATTCTGCCAGAACCTCGGCGACTTTCTTTTGTTCTCTAAGGAAACCACCATTGTCTTTCAAAACAATACGCTCATTGTGGAAAGACTGTTTTTTCCTGGATGAAATATACGGTCTTATTGTGTTCCAAAACTTCTTTTGATCTGAATATTTATCATCGCAGATTCTTGAAAAGTGATCTCTTACTCTTTTCCTCCTCATACTAACAAGTCTGTTTCTTAGTTGGCGGTATTTTTCCCAGTCTTCAGGCTTTCTGGACTTGTTGAACTGCCTTTACAGCGATTACGTTCTCTCATCACTTCCCGTAATTCAGGGTTTATAAATTGAAATTGATCGCGATGTTGTCGGCGAAACGATTTAACTGGAGCATGGTCATTCAGATCTTCAACGAACAATTTTCCCAAGCCCAATATACATCTTCAGGTTCATCAAAGACGTAAGCCGTCGAAAAAGGAACCAAACTAAGGTCGTTACAAAAAGAGCCTTCAACAAAATTCTTGAAAGAGCGCACTCGGATAATTTCGGGTTCAGGTTGCGGTATTTTCTTATTTAGAACCGTTAAAGTATAAACTAGGCAATGATCACTGAGGCCAACCTCCAAAGTTCCTGTTTCTCTGAAATGACCTGGAACATTCATCAGGATAACATCTAAGCATGAAGAACGCTGAGGAGATATTCTTGTGGGTGAATTATTTAAAGAATCCAGATCATAAATGTCACAAATGTCCAGCAGACATCTTAATGTCAGTAATAATTAGCTTAAGCCAACTCAATAACAATAAAGTTACTACAAATTGCAAATATATTATCTCACCTTTAATTTTGTAATACCTGCCTGAAACCCCCCCACCCCAAACAAACAAAGAAATAGGTTTGAAGCCCCGGAAAGATCCTTTCCACAAAGTTGGTGGAAAGGATACTCGTAACTTAACAGTTGGTAATCCAAAGGAGTTTTCGAAAGAACAATATAATGATTAGAAATACACGACAAGAGTCAAACAAGTTAAGGATCGCTATTTTCATTTTCGATTCCTGAAATGAAAGCGCCGAGTTTGTTATTAGCTGGTTTTGTCTCTCTCGAGATGAAAAGAAGCGAGCTTCATTCTCTGTGCCAGTATTCAGATAGAAAATCGTGTTTGCCAGGTCAGGACTGTTGGAGAGGCCACGTTATGTAATACTCCTAATTAAATAATTTATAATGGTGCTTATGAATACATCGTAATATATACATTGTGTGTGTGTGGGGGGGGGGGGAAGGGGGAGGAAACGTCGAATGTCAAGTCAATTTGTTTGCTTTTACCGGCAATTTTAAAGGGGGAGGGAACTTGAGCAATTTCAAATTTCAAACGTTAAAACTGAACTCTCACCCCTGGTTGAAAACTTCCCAGAGGCAGCTGAATTTCTTTTTGTTCAATGCTACCGTCCCTAGATCGGAGAGGCGCGGTGTAGGGAAAGATTGCGTGAGAGTATGGAAAAATAATTTGTTTGTCGAGGCTGGGGTTGGGGAGCAGCACCTGTTTATAATATATTTATTTTATTATTTTTTGTTGGTGTGAGTTAAGATTGTTGTAATGGTTGTGTGGGGGGGGGGGGGGGGGGGGGGGAAGGGGGAGGAAACGTCGAATGTCAAGTCAATTTGTTTGCTTTTACCTGCAATTTTAAAGGTGGAAGGAACTTGAGCAATATCAAATATCAAACGGTCAAACTGCAATCTCACTCCTGGTTGAAAACTTCCCAGAAGCAGCTGAAGTTGTTCTTGATCAATGCGTACGTTCCTCGGACCATCTCAACCCAGCCGACCCAGACTACACTGTAACTTATGACTTCAAGCACCTAGATCCTGGTCCAGATGCTGACATGTCGAGTGGAAGGTTTTCCACTGTTCAGATGATGATAAAGCACAAGCGTGAACGACTTCTTCTTCATCCTCTTACGCTGAAATTTAATGAACGAAAGTGGCAGAGTTTAGGAAGATACGTCTTCTTATTCGACTTTGTTACTTATCTCTTGCTTATGGTGCTCTTTACTGTATTTATAGTCGACGATAGGTCAGACCAGACCTTCAGTGAACCACTAAAGCAAAAACCGTCAGATTATTACTACGACGAAGACGACCCCTTCAGAGGAACTATGTCATTTTTGATCTTGACTTTCTCCTTGCTCCACATATGCAAAGAACTGTTGCAAATTTACGTTCAGCGTTGGAACTACTTCAAGGACCTGTCTAATTACCTGAACTGGGCACTGTATATCTCTTCAGCCTTGTTTATGGTCCCCTACGTCGCAAAGCCAGAAGACGTCGACAAGTTTTTTGCCAGTACGAAGGCCCCCTTAGTACTTTGGAATATTGGAGTTGTTGCAATCTTCGTGTGCTACACCAACATGATGCTGTTTCTCAGAAGATATCGCTTGTTTGGCACTTACATCTCAATGTATATTGAAGTGACGAAGACTGTATTCCAAGTTATGTTCGTGTTTGTTTTTCTGGTTCTGGGATTTGCATTGGCTTTTTTCGTCCTCTTTAAAGAACAGGTAAGTTAGTTCTCAGGTATTGTTGGCTAGTCAGTTAATCTTGCGAGGAAAAACCAGAATTCTGTAATTACTGAGTTAATTTAACTATAAAAAAAGATAAGAAAGAAACCTTAGGTTTTAAGATGCAGACAAAATGCCCCTTTTCCTTTATAGAGATTTCCCTTCAATAGAGGTTGATACAACAGCGGATACAAAGATTACATGAACATTTTTCCGGGACCAAATTTTGTTCTCCCTTGATGGAGGTGTCCCAACGGAAAGGTTCCACTGTATCAAACATATCCAGGAAGACTATTAGAAGATGACGTCAATTCAGTTCAACTACGTACTAGTATCCTATGTTTTGAGGGATCCGAACCCCCAAAGGTTCTTTCGTTAAAAAAATAAATAATTAAAAACAGTAGTAAATATTATAATCACTGCTGATCGAAGAGCGTTGTGACAATTACCAAAACGTTTCTCGTTGTAACTGATGCTGGACCAGTTTAGGGTTTTGGTTTTTAGCAAATCATCACATCTGCTCTATTTAGCCCTCTCGTGAACATTTCTAGTTTCAATTAACACTACGGTCTTGAACGCGCTTGACCTCCCATTTTTGTTTTCCTTTGACAGTCGCTAACTTAATGCAGGGAGAAGCCAAAGATCGCGTTTTGTTGGCTGGCAAAGACGTATCGAAACCGGTCCCTTGATTTTACCGATTATTCCAAGCAACCTATAGCGATTTTTGGCTCGTCCCTGCTTCAAGGTACTGACACAGAAAACAGTAGAAGTCTTTTTTTAAGCGAACGCTGTTCATTGCACTAAATTGCCAAGAGTCGACTAATGGTGTAACTCCACTGTTAGTATGCAACTATATGTAAACCTCATGAAACCCAATTCGGGCGAGCGCTCGAAACGTTCGCTTGTGAGTCAAATTAAATGGTGGCCGATTTTCTTTATCTACTCACTTGGTAAAACCGCATTTTATCTCATCATTATCATTCAGGATGCATTCCATTCAGTGCATCATTCCCTGCTCCGCGTGCTTGTGATGATGATTGGTGAACTGGACTTTCTAGAAACCTTCATAAACACCATAGGAGAGAAGAGTGAAGAGAACACGAATCTGTTAAATCCATTCCCTTTTACTGGACAGTTCTTCCTCTTTTTGTGCTTGTTTTTCCTTACTACCGCTCTGATGAACCTTTTGGTAAGGAATTGGTTTGATATGTATTTTTAACAGCTGAAAGAGTAGCCTGAGAAAACGGCCGACATTTCGCGACAGTTTCCCCGCGAAATGACATCTGAGAAACGAGTACAGAAATTCCATACTGATGACGTGTCACTACCCTGACCTGGGTAGTGCTCTTAATTAGTTGAAGGAAATTTCCCTCGCTGCACGACCAATCGGAAGTTCTGACAAGATCTGGGAAGTAAAACGTCATCAGTATGAGATTTCTGTGCTCGTTCCTCAGACATCATTTCGCAGGGAAACCATCGGTGGCGTCCAAAAGTTCGGCTGTTTCCTCAGGCTGTTGAAAGAGCCTGTTGTAGTTTTCTGCGCATATGTAGGACTTTGAGTTTTAATTCGAAAGAACAGTTTTCAAATATAAATTTGGTAATGAAAAAACACTTTTCCAACTGGTATCGATTTCCTTAGAACTGTGTAGGCTAATGTTAAATTTGTCGAAACAATCACGCGTCATCTGTAAAGGTTCTGCACAGGACATTTTTTATCTTTTCTAAGTCCAAATCTAAATGTGGTTTAGTCGACAACATCCACGAGGGACATCACGCCAACTCTAAAACACTTAGGATTGGAGATATAAATTTTAAACGAAGATATGATCATTGCAGTGGTAATTGAAATTTAAGTAATTGCAAATAAACCCGAAAAAAAAATTTGAGACTTCAACGGGATTCGAACCCAAGGCCTCTGCGTTACCGCTGCGTGCTGTACCATTTGAGCTATGAAGACCCATCCCTGGGAGCAGGCCAAATTGTTGAGTTCATCTCAACCCTTGAAAGGAATAAAACAATGATGATGTGGATTGCGGAGACCGAGGCACAAATTTTAAATAGAGATATGATCGTCGCAGCGGTAATTGCCATTACCACTTGTTGATTACAAGTTAGTCATTGGCCTTGAAAGAGCCCGCACACGACGTTGTTAGTTAAAGCCGTATATGCGCATTTTAATGATGGTCGAAAGTAGCTTCGCGACTACTTTGGGTTTTGGTACACGCGCTCGGTTGGTCACGTCTAACTGACAGTAAGTTCATCGTATTCTTGCCGTGACTGCCATTAAAAAAACATTTTTAATCAAGAAAAAAAAGATATAACCGTATTTACTGGAACGTTCTAGCTACAGCGATCAGTTACCTTAAAGGTTCTTTGATGTAGCTATTTTTCGAAGATGGCGATGTGGGGTTTAGCAAGTGAAGTTCGCTGCGTTGAACAGTTTTTAATTTCATGTAATGGGCGGATGACATAAGTGGTCCAATAATAAAAAAAGTATTTGGCGAAGCACTTCGTAACAAATTAAGCCAACCAGAAACGGACAAGTCAGACGATATACTAAGTTTACTTTTACAAATGTTTATTTTATTGTAATAAATTTTACCGCACAATTTTCTTGCAGGTTGGTCTGGCCGTGGGAGACACCAAAACAATGAAGAAATATGCCACGATCAAGAGACTTGTGATGCAACTGGAATACCAGTTTAAAATAGAGGAGGCGTATCCCAAATACATTATCCGAAAGGTTTACGAAAGCATTCATGTAGAGAAGCCCAACAAGCTGTCTAGAGTCAACAGGTATACCTCATTTTGACCAAATGGCGGTAATAAAGCGTATGTGTGTGTGTGTTCTCATAGTTCGTTTGTTCGTGGGCACTCATATAACTGTCACCGAATATTTTCAGTCAGGTTTTCTTTTCATTAACGTTTATTCTAAATATTGCTTGTCGCAAAATCGCTTTGGATATTTTAATTCATATTTTTGCCTAGATAGTGCAAGACCACGAAATTGTCTTGGTTGCCAGGAGTTGCTGGAATAGAAAGGCAATCACCGCCTAATATTTGCAACAGCTATTGCTACACTGTTGATCAGTTTCGATCAGTTTTCTTGATAGGGTTACCGGAAATTGGAATTCCCATATCGGTGGTAAAATTCGATTGAAAGGAAAATACATTTCAACTTGTTTTACTCCTCAGAATAGAAGAGTGGCTCCATGCAAGGTTTGCGGAAGCAGCTCCAGAACCGGTCAAAGAGGGTCAAACATCTGAATTTGCTGAACTAAAAGAAGAGATTTTAAAAATCAAGAAGAGGATCAAATCTATGATGGCCATGTTGGAGGCCCTAAAACAAGCTGCTCAAGAACCTGGCAGTTGCCGTCGACCCAAAATTTAAGTTTCCGCAAGATGTTGATGAATGAGTGGTGTACCGCGGGTACCGCTAAGTGAAGCCAGCAAAGAAAGCGAAATGCTAACGTAACATTTATTAAGCGTCTAGTTTACAAGAGGGTAAAAGCTCATGGATGCTGCTTTTTAAAGTGTGTTGTGTTCAGTTCTTTTGATAAAAAAAAAAGGACGTGCATGTCTATAGCTGACGTTTCATTCAGCATTCATAGCAGTGCTTCTGCAACGATTAAACGTCTGATGCATTTTTTGTAAAGTAGGGTAACCAATCGTAAGGTGAAGCTAATTATAAGTGGTTTTCTCCGCACCTGCACCATTGCTTTGGCAAACAGCGTCGTTAACCAATCACATCTTTTTGTTAGGATTCATGAACCAACAAACAGGAAAACACACGTTTCAAAATTTCCTGATTTTTCTTAGTCGCTTGGCGCCACGGAATTTTATAGAGACCCAGCAGTTTGATTTTGTGTAGTTGTCACAGCTCACGAAGACCGTAACATAACCCTATCGAAACTAGAGTGGAATACGGAGAAATATTCTGATTGTTATTGTAAAACAATTCAGCTCTTCAACGCTGGGCTCTTTGAATCTCCAGAATTAGATTCAGGGGCTTTGCTTGTTGACGCCCTTGGGGATGACGTAGTTGACCCCTATGGGGCGATTGTTTAAACAAAACCTTTCCGTAGGACCTTTTCATAGCTCTGATTAATTTGTATTACTTTACAAAATAAAATCGGTTGAGCTTTACAAAGTTTATCGAAATGTGCGTTGCAAAGGTATGAAAAAAGCACAACGCACATTTGGATAAACTTTGTAAATCGACTGTAAAACTCAATCGATCATTTGCGTTGCACAGTATCTGGCAATTTTTTTAAATAACATCGGGCCTTTTTCTTGATTCGATTTTTGCATTGAGTTAATTTGATCCTTTTGATCCTGGACTTGACCAGGTTTATCCATGCTGGTACATAAAAGGCTTCTGCTTGAAGAGGTAACATCAAATAAACATGAAGTAAAAAAAAATACATAGTGTTCTTTAATTATGTGGTTGATTATTTAATATGTACAAAACTAGATTACATCGCTTTAATTGTCCCCCAAAAATACAAACTCTCAATGTATTACCATGCAAAGTTAGCATCTTAAACAACACAAAGCTTATTGTACAGATGCATAATCTTGCTCTCCTTAAAAGCTGTGAAGTAGTAACTCTGCGTTACTTTGCAAAGACTAAGCTGTTAATGCAAATTCTATCTTTTTGCTAAATGTGCACGTGCATATGAAACTTGGAAACAATGCCAGTGAATAATGACGACGCTCAGTTGCAAACACAAAATCTTGGGGGAAAATTAGTTATATTTGAGGCCCTATTTAAAAGCCTTCTCTGTTTTCAATGTTCTTGAAACTTGCAGGGTATATTTATAGACAATTGATCTCGGGATTGTCAAATTTATAAAAAAATTTAGCGAGCGGTTTTTTGAAGAATGCGAAATTTGTAGGCTTGGACCACATTACGTGCAAAAACTGTAACAAAAGCAGCTGAATGCAAGTTACTAAAATACTTCTTACTCGCGATCGCCCGAAGCAATTCTCCTCTTTTTTTGTACGCAGTTTTCAATGGAATCAAACCACTATGAGATGAAGCCGCGTTTCGAAAGCTTATCATTTTCTTAAAAATTTAGGTAATTGTGTGGATAGCATGCTATTTCACTGTTTTTATGATGCTTAAAACTTCGTTTTAAAATATCTCAAAAACGCTCTCATAGAATTTGTTCAAACTTTGCAATAATTGAGGCAATTATGGCAGGTACAAACTCCCTTAAGCGATTTCTTAAAAAACTCTAGGTACAGAGAAACACAAAGATAAATAAAAAACGTAATGGCGTCGTTACGTTTCCATGGCGACTCCGATTGCAATAAAATCCAGATCATAAGAAATTTTCCTCTTTATATAATACAGTTGTGGTAATCTTTTTTCCATATCTTTACTCATGGCGACGTAGTTAATGCTCAAACTTGGGAGGTATCCCCCCAAAATTCCAGTTGAGCCACCTTAAATGAATACGTTAGCAGCGAAAAGTTGTATCTTTACTAATTAGTTTTACAGTCACGTGTATGTTTAACATGCATGCATAGGGTCATAGCTTCTTTTTGTTTTACCGTATTCTTTATTTAGTTGCAGTATTGTATTAACTCTTTTTTTTTTGTCAATATTATCTCATTAGCTACTCAAATTACTGTTATTATATATTTCAAAATTTTAAGCTTACAGTTACTTCTGAAGATGTATGTTTAGACATACGAGACGTTAAGTCAGTGAGTGAAATTCTATTTTTTAACTAGTAATAGTTGACACTACAGCTGCCCCCTCTCTGTATATTGTCGGTCAATAGTATTCTTGCTCGTTGTGTAGCTCTTTGAAATATACCGATTCATAATGAAGATTTTCACACACATTCCATACAATAGGTGAGATAAATAGAGGAAACGCAAGATTTCATGCATCGTTTCGGTTCGATTTACACAGCTTTGATTTCTCTTTCACTTTTTACATTCAGTTCATTTTATTTGTCGGAAATTAAGCCTTAGAGGTTAAAAGGATGTTTGATCAATTCACGCTCGCGCATTCTAGTCTTAGTTCAAACTTAAGAGCGGAAGGACATCTGTTAGCAGGGAATAAGTCAGCACAGAATTTGATTGTCGGCGAATTTCTGTAATCGTCCATCGTTCTGCTAGTGATAAGCTAGCAGTTGTTCACTCGTCTTGCTTGTTTGGGGCTGAGTCTTATTCCGGTCAAAGAGAGGGAAAGAGTGTCTGGCAAGGTTTCCAATCAAAGATTTGTGAACTCGTGTCTGGCAAACTCTCCAAGTGTTTATATATGCACACTTATACGCACGTTATAACTTCATCTGCGCTTAACGAGTGTCTTTTGGTCCATAACTTTCTAAACAACTGCTCTACAGAATGTCACTGATAACGCATGACGCAAAAGAGGATCGAAGTATGCCTTCACAATAAATGTCAAAAAATCTACCTTAGCGGTCCCTTCGGGATTTTAAGTCTTTACGTCATCCTAACCAATTCGTACCTGCGGGCGCAAACAATAGAAACGTCATGATCATTACCTACCGATTCCTCTCGGCCCCTGTTCAAGCAAATCGAGATTTTTTCTAGCGTACTGACTGTATATTTCAGCTGTAAGTACTTTCCTTAATATACGCGCGAGTTGCTAGAGTGCCTCCTCGGGATTTCGCCTTCTGGGCGAAATCCCTGTGCAGGCAATTTAGCTATGCGCTTGTTTAGCTTCATGTTTGTCACCACACTTTGAGTTTTATGAGTACCTTCGCTCTTAATAACCGGTATACTGAGGGAAATATACCATTTAAAAATGGTTTCCCTCTGCAGTATTTACGTATACAACTTTAGCCGCTGAAGTAACTCTTGGCGAGCGATCAATATTCAAGAGTTACAGTGCATTGTTACTCTTGGACATCATGGCTAGATTTTGTAGTATATCTAACGCTCGCTCACAGACTATATATTGACGTGAAAACAGGTTAGATATTACGGTTCTATGAAGCAACCAATAAGAGTAACACCATTTCTTCAAAACTGTATGTACTACGTAGAGGGCTTAATGTCAAGCTTACCTGTTCGTAAGTGACGTCACCTAGTATTATAAAAACTGTGATACGTTTCTATTATATTACTTCATTAGTTCGTTTAGCCAATGGAGGTGCTTCGTATGGCTGTGTTGAAGTATATTACAACGGAGCCTGGGGTACAGTGTGCGATGATCTCTGGGATATCAACAACGTTTCTCTAGAGCAACGTCTGCTCCACACGGTACAAGATATGGTCGAGGTACTGGCAATATTTGGTTGGATGATGCCGAATGTAGCGGAGGAAAAGCTTCACTGTTCAACTGTGCGCATGCAGGATGAAGCCCAGGAGATATTGGCTATGGCCATCACGGGGATGCAGGTGTCGTTTGTGCGTAAGAAGCAAGAAATGCTGTCACATAAAAACAAGTTACTTTTTTATACCTTATGTTTACGCAAGTCTAGACCACTTTTTTTATTTTTGCTACCAGACATTCCAATAGCATGTAGAAATATATACCCGTCAATTAAAGGAAGCAACTATAAATACATGGAAACAAGTTGAGAGTTTTCATTTATGGGTCTTATAGAGCGGCAGCAGCCTGCATCCTTTAATTGCCTGGGAAACTGTTTTCAAATGGTTTAAATTTCCAAATTTTTGGCGTAAAAGGGAAAGTGATGTTGAGAGAAAAAGCTCTAAACAAGAACAAAGGAAATCTTCATCTTGACTCCCTCGCCCCTTCAAACAACGGAAAGTGGCAATGATGAAGAAGCATTGTATTACATGCATTATGCTTAATCCGCCGCTTGAGACTGACGCAAGATGGTGGGTGGAGAGTTAAACGCGTGGAGAGTTTAACAGTACAGAATTTAAGAGGCATCTTGAACAACTCTAATCTGTTACTTAGTTATATTTATTTAATTATTTAATTCAAATAGTTTTTTTATTAGTACCGTATAACCTCCACCCACTTGTAACTGCACTGTGGTAGTAGCCAACTCGAAAGCTTGGCTCCTTTGGCTGCTACGCACTCTTCCTTTTTTATGTTTAATTCAATGTATAGTTAGCTCTGTTTTTTACTTCTTCCTTTTTTTTCCCTTTTTGTTGTATTGTAATTGAATAAGTGTGAATAAATGAACTTGAACTTGAACTTGAACTTGAACTTGCGAGTAGAATAATTTTTTACATAGTTGATATTTTATTTGTCGAGTACCCGCTCAAAAAAGTCTGGATATTCTAAAAGAGCACACCAGTAGCAGACCCTTCGCTTCTTGTCATAATGTAGAAAGAACTAGCCTTAGAAGATGCTATCAATGAAGATGTGATTTCATTTCATGAGCGTTAAATTTCAACATATTTCATTAAGTATATTGCCAGCCTTTCAGCACA